CAGGACGACGTGACGTTCTTGTAGCCCGTGGCTCTGTGTTTCTCACATCGCCCGCTCTGCTTCATTGGGTTCTGCTTGGGATTGTGGTGTGGTTGGGAATGGGAGCCACTCCTACACGTCCCATTTGGTGGCACCAGCAGTGTGAGCCATGGGGCAGGGCCATGGGCTGGGCATCCCAACTCAGCACTTCCATTGTATTTTTCCAAGTAGTGCCCACTAAGGGTATATGGAGCCAGGAGGAGCTGGAGCTTGGTTGGTTGTCAGTGTGGAAAGCCCTTCCTGGAGCTGAAGGTGGTTGAGATGCCTCTGTGAAGCCACTCAGTGGGACATGGAGCTCCAAGTTCCCTGGGTTTGTTCGAGGACTGTCCCACCATGTGACCAAGCCCTGCGTGGTGGAGTGGCCCAAGACATATGGCTCCTCTGCTGGTGTGGATCTGCAGCCTGGAGATGTCCTCTCTGCCCTCTGAGCCTTGGCTTCTCACTGTGCCTTTGACTGCCTGCCCCCTATGTACCCAGCACCACCAGCTTGCAGAGCATGGCTTGCACTGAGCTGTACACTCACTTGGGCAGCATCTGTGCCCTTCTTGGGATGTTGCAGGGAAGGGCAGTGGCATTCCACAGCTTCAAGGAAGGGTTCTTCCACACACACAGCAGAGCTGAATCCTGGCTCTGCCCCTGTTGGAGTGGTGGAATTTGGTTCATCATCCCCTGGAGCTAGTGGGAAACCAATGCTTTCCTGGAGCGGCTGCAGGGTGAGGTGGATGTGGCCAGGAGGGAGGTTGGGTGCACCCTGGCTGCACATGCACTTCCCTGCATTGGTGGGCAAGAACAGGACAGTGTCCAAATCATGGGAGGTGGCATCTGCTGAGGACTTGGGAGCATCCCAAATCCACCCCATCCCATCTGCCTGCCAGCAGCTCATGTCTCTATGCATGGCCACCATGTCCCCAAGGCTTCGCTTCTAGCTCTGCATGAGAGTCCCCAGGGGGATAGGGTAAGTCCCCCAGTGCTGCTAAAATTGCTGTCGGCATCAATAGCTGTGGCTTAATAAATGGTAATTTTTCTTCAAGGCCACGCTGTCGGTGCTTTGTTGAGTCTGCAGAGGTTTAGGGGCAGAAGAGTGCTGGAGCTGCCACCCCTGAGAACGATAGTCTGTCCAACGCAAGCATGAGCCACTGATCCAGACTCTTTAGCAAGGTATGTTGTGATAGGATAAGAGGAAGTTTTCAACTAAAAGAGAGGAGATTAAGACTGGATATAGGGAAAAATTTTTGGACAGAGAAGCACTGGTACAGGTTGCTCAGAGAGGTGATGGATGCTCCATCCCTGGAGACATTCAAACTCAGACTGGATCAGGCTCTGAGCACCTGGTTGAGCTGTGAGTGTTCCTGTTCATTTCAGGGGAGTTGGACCAGATGACCTTTAAGAGACCTATTCAACTCAAATGATTCTATGATCCACAGACCTTGGCATCTGCTCAACCCTGAGCTCTCGAGGCAGATGCTGACGACAGCAGGATGGGGAAGGGTTTCCCCATATGCTGCTGGGTTTAGGTAAAAAATAAAACAAAAAGAAGAAAACCCATAGAAGTAAAATGTCCAGCCCATTCTTCAGCCCAGCTTTTCTGTCCCTGTAGGTTGCCCAAAGAAGCTGTGGGTGTTCCATCCCTGGAGATGCTCAAGGCCAGGCTGGATGGGGCCCTGGGCAGCCTGATCTATGGAGGACAACTAGCCCACAGCATGGGGTTGGAGCTGGATAGGTTTTAAGGTCCCTTTCAATCCAACCGTTCTATGTTTCTGTGCCCCCCGGATAGAACATTGCCTCAAATCCAGACCTTGGAGCTGGATCTGGAGAAATGAGAGCTGTTGTAACAGAGCTTTCCTGTGGAAATGCCCTGGGGGGATGTCTGTCTGCTGGTGGATGATAGTTTAGGGTTAGCAATGGGTGCAAAGCTGCTGCCCCTGCTGTGTCACAGGGCTGTTAGGTGCTGAGAATGGGCAGGAAAACAAGCAGATAAAGCAGCTGAGCAGTGCCAGAAAACGCCCACTGCTGCTACAACAACACTGCCTGCCAATTCTTCCTCTTAGATATACACAGAGATTAGACCGTATTAATGAGGCAGTAAAACACTTTAATAACTGGCAAGGGGAGCTATTGGAAAGTCCCCTGGGCTCTCCCCTCCCTGCATGCCCTGAAAGGGCCTGTCCCTGGAGGGCTGCAGCCATATAACAGCTCCTATCCAACCACCTTTTCCCAGGGAGGGGGAGAGCCCTCTGCCAGGTCCTATGTTCACCTTCACGCTCCCCATGCTTGCTGCTCCTCTGTTCTGCTCCTCTGGGGGTTACACACCAGATATGTATGCCACTTTATTCTCCTCTGTGACCCATTGCCTAGGAAATGTCCCACTGCGTTCCTGGGGACACCTCGCTCTGTGCCATCGTAGGTGTGACACTGCTGCTCACCCCACTGGGGATCACCCTGTCGCTGTCTTCTGCCCACCAGCCCTGCTCAGGTCTCTCTTGGGGTGAGGAGGAGGAGAAATCAGAATCACTCTTCTGAAAAATCAATCTGCTTTTATCGTGTTAGCCCAGCCTGACCTCACAGAACCCCTCTGTTGTTTTTTCCATGGGGTGTTTAGAGGGAAAATTACAGTAAATACTTTGCAAAGAGGCTGTGGGAGATAAGGACTGGATTGTCAGCAGGGAAAAATTGGCACAGCGAGCTCTGCACAGCCACTGGCAGGATTTCCCATGCTGCCCTGCTCCTGGGACCTGGAGAAAAGGGCATCATCATGAGCAGCACAAGGTCTCAGAAGCAGCCAAAGGTTAAAACACATTGGGTGCTGCTGACAGGCTCCAGCCTGGGAACTTTTGGCTGGAGAGAAGAACTGAGTTGCTTATGAGAGAGATGGCGTGGTAGCTGGGGCTGGGGAGGGACTGATCTGGGAAATACCAGGGAAATTGGGGTGTTGAGTCCCCCTACCCACCCAGAGCCCATGTCCCTGTCCTGCATGGCCTCTTCTCATGGTGACATCCGGACATGAGCCTGCGTGGGCCCGCTGATACACTTCTCCCAGTCACTCTTTAGCACCACCTGGAGCCTCTTGCTGCCCCATTTCATGTCCTTCATCCCCAGGACATGCCCTTGCAGTGCTGGTATGAGACATGCAGTGAGGAGCCCACAGATGACCACGGCATAACTGCAGTCCCACATCCTGCAGTGGCAGTTTGGGACTGGTGGCTGATTTTGGCCAAATAAAACACCAAAGCTCAGGTCTTGGTGTTAAATCCAGATGTGAAGTGTGGAGCTCCACCAGCACCTAAAGCTTGTGGGAAAGGTCACATCTCCCCTGCCAAGAGTTTCCCTCTGATTACAGGAGGTATTAGGAAGGAAGGAACCCACCACCCTCAGCCAGCGTGGGTGTCGTGTCTCCCCCTAGGTATTTTGCTCATCCTCTGCACATCTCTCTACTGGGAACCATGGGGGTTTGAGGCCATTTTAGGGTTTGGAAACCTGCCACTTGTGAGGCTGTGCTTCATGCAAGAAGAGCAGTGTGGATTACGGCTGCTATAAAAAGTGCTGGCACCTCTCACCCTGCACCCTAAGGCGCTTATGGGAGGAAAGCAGGACTTAGGGAGCTATGCTGAGGCCCTTCCCAGCCTCTAGGAAGGCTGGATTGAAAAAAGCACTGCTTTTTTGGGGAACTGTTTTCAGCCAAAAGCCTTGCACAGCTCCAGGCTGCCTCAGGTACCCCCCTTCAGCACCTGGAGAGGATCTGTGCTTCACCAAACCTGCACGCATGGGAGCTCAGTGGATCAGCCGTGGCATCACTGGGAGCTGCAGAGCTCTGTGCATCCCTGCTGCCATCAGTTGCTGATGATGCAACGATTCGTGCTCCGTGCTCTTGCAGTACTGCTTTACAGCTGTGCCACTCTGCAGGACGAGCCTTTCCTTTTTCTCTCCTGCCACATTCTGGGGTCTCGGCCACGTCCCACCACCCTGCGACGTTCGCACGGGGAGGCGTTACGGTTGCAGGAGGCCCGGGAAGAGCGGCCACAGGAGGGAGCCGTGTCCCTTCCAGGACAGCGGGTGACAAAGGGACACTGTCGCTGAGAGCCCTGGAGAACCCGATGCTCAGCCCCGGATGCTGAGAAGTCAGGGCAATGAGGAGACCCGCAACTCCCAGGAAAGCTTCTGCCCCCCAGGAACTGAGATCTTCCCAAATTTCCCCAGTTCCATCGCTGCAGCCCTGCTCCAAGGTTCCAAAATTGCAGGCATTGCCCCTGGCCCCCCAGACAAAGCATTCGTCCAGCTCAGTGCAGTGGGCCAGAGCTGTGACAGTGCAGCCTCAGTGGTGGGATCAGCAGAAGTGCCCCCACCTTGCCAGACAGGGACATACATACATATACACAGAGAATTAACGGGGACTCATGTCACCCTCAGGCTCTGTACACCCATACAGAACTGCTCCCCATCCCCTGGCATTCCCCATTACAGCACCACTTCCCTAGACAACCACAGCCTCATGCTTTTGGGAGGCAGATGATGCTCCAACCCCGGCTATGGCTACCCTGGGGCTTGGGCAATTGACTCTGCTCAGGATCAGCCCCTCTGGCCTTTTTTGAATTTGGAAAAGATGTAGAGAGCTGTGCTGTACAAAGAAATGGTGGATCCTGCTTCAAACATCACACGTGTGGCGGTGGTGACCCCAGCACACCCTCAGGGAGTCACCCAGCTTGGAGGTGACAAAGGGAACCCAGAGGGGATGAGCCAGGGATGCAGCTAAATGGGGACCCAAAGAGCTGTGTTCACTGCTGGTGGGTCCCTGCCCTCCCCTCCAGCATCATCTCTCCAACTGCATGGGTATGCGGGGAGAGATTTGTAGGCACATGTATTTGTTGTAAATCTTTCTTGTCTCCTCACTTTGCCCTTCCCACCACCCCATTCCCATGACGCAGGACAGCCGCATGCCAAAGGATCACCCTTCTCTCTGCCTCGCCTCTGCTCACTGTATTTCTCCATTTGCTCTTTCGTTATTCATGGGGAAAAAAAGGAAGCTGATAGACCCACAGGACTGACAATCCCGTGGCCCTGGCAATGTCCTTAGAACCTGGAAGGCTCTGCCCTGCAGGCTCCGCTCATCCCACAGCCCCTTTCCCTTTGCCCCCATCCCTGCAGTGCCGGTTGCTCAGCAGCAGACAGTCCTCTGTCGGTGGTAGAGGCGAACAAGGAGACTTCCCCTGGTCCTTCCCTGCCATGCCCATCCCATCACGCTGCTCACGTCTGCTGTGGCAGGTGGCAGGTCTCGCCGATGGCGATGACCACGTCCTGGGGCTGGCGGCTGTGGTGGCGCGGCACCTCGGGCATCTCACTCATCTCATTGACGCTACTGGTGATGCAGTTGACGTCGCTTTTGTTGCTGTTGTCATCTGGGTTGGGGCCGAAGATCCAATCTGGGAGTGAAGGAGGAAAAAATACGGTTATCTCTGGTTGTTCCCAGATCCAAAACCCAGGTGGGAAATTCTCCATTCCCATCCTCCATTGAATCTTGAGCTCTGAGTATGAGGTCCCAGGAGCATCCCCTGCCTTCTCTATCCCTGTCCGCATCTCTGTCCCATCCCCATCACTCCATCTCATCACCACAGTGCTGTGGCACAGCCTGTGCTTTTCCCTCTTCTTTTTCCCATTTCTCAGGTTGCTGCTTCCTGGAGGCCCTCCTGGCTCAGGCAAATGAAATCATGCTGCTAATCCTGAAAATTAAAATTAAGTGTCTCCGAAGCGAGTCGTGCATCTGGGCTCTCCAGCAAGCAGTGTGTTCTGTGCCATGGCTTTTTGCTGTCAGGAATGGAGAGGATGATTAAGTAACCGTGTGACATCCCAATGCATCTGCTGCTGGAATAAGGAAAAATGTCCTGAGCTGGTGGCTGGGGATGTATCCCCATGTGAGAATGCACTGCAGCCATGTGGGGCTTGGGACCCTCCTTGGGCTGCTCTGAGGAGTTGGGAATGAGAAATGAGAAAAGCAATGAGAAAAAAATGAGATAGAGAAATCCAGGTGAGAGGAGAGTTGTTCCTGGGGTTGGAGGCAATGGAAACCTCTTCAGGTAGCACAGGAACCCTCTCTGGGGTAGGTTTTGGTCTGCAGTGCCTGACCTGACCAAGTGGGGGTGAAAGGGGATCAACATGTCACTGCCATTCAGGGAAAAATTGAAAAGTCTACTGGAAGATATCAATTTGATGCAGTTATTATAGAATCATAAAGTCACAGAATATCCCAAACTGGAAGGGACACATTCGGATCAAGAGTCCAATTTGCCTGTTGCAATGCAATTATTTAACTTTTCTCTCCAGGCTGAACCAGATGGCCATGTCACCCCGAAGGTCATGGTGCCCGTAGGCACCCAGGCTGGTTGGTACTCCTCATGCAGCATCTTGCTGTGACACGGAATCAGAAGGCAATAAAGAGATCACCCCTACAAATACTATTAAAGCCCTCGGCTGGCTTTTTCCTTGACGTCAGCACTAAAACTCCCATGGGAGATGGTCTGGTTGGGAAAAGGGGGAATAACCTGGAGGATGCAGAAAGATGGGCGATGGGACTTCATATATCAACCTAGGAGTCGGACTCGATGATCCTTATGGATCCATTTCAACTTGGGATATTCTATGATTCTTCGATTCCACATCCCAGGAGTGATTGGATGAGAGCTGCAGTGTGCAGAGGGCACAAAGAATGGGAAGATGAGACAACATGTTTGAGCAAGGGGAGGCGGCAATTGGTGGCCAGATGGAGAGCCCTTTGAGATGCATTCTTGGAGAAGCAAGAGCATGACATGGCAAGGCAGCGGTAAAGGAAGAAGTGCAGAAGTTAATCACTGGGGAGAGCACTGGAGAGCTCAGCAAAAGCCATTTCCTTGAGAAAATGTCACATCTAGGAGGATATTGCTTGGTTTTCAGGGTTGGCTGCTGGCTGCTTCTCGAGTGCGTGCGGACTGGATTGTGTGCGCTAATCCCAACCACAGTTTCCCTGGGAATTATTGCTGGAGCCTGCTGGATCTAATTACCTGGTAATCTGCAGGAAGATGTAATTAGGTTGTCATTAGAGGGTATTTACTGCGATGCCTTTATGATTTGACTGTGTTAGTAAGGAGTGAAGTAATTACGCAATTACACGTTATTTGTGGCCATTTATGGCCTGTAACTGCAGTGTGGTTCTGTATGTGGATGAAGGGAGGCATGGAGTGCAGAGAGGCCCCACATGGAACCAGCAGAGGATTTTCTGCCAGCAGGTCCGTGAAGGTACAGCCATAAAGATGTTGATGTCCTTATCTCCTGCCAGCCCCCATCGTGCATCTTTGGCAGTGGTTGTCTGCTCTGGGATAGGATGTGGGGACTGAATCACAGCAGGGGAGAAAATGGGGTCCCTCAGGATGTCCCTTAAGCAGGGACCAGGCAGGGGACAGAATGAATGTCTTTGGCCCCCCTGCAATGATAACTTGCTCTGATGAGGGAGAAACTTTGCAGGGGATGGAGACGAGGATGAGGATGGGGATAGGGATGGGATGGAATACAGATGGGAATGGGATGGGATAGGGATGGAACTGGGATGGGATGGGGATAGGGATGGATATGGATGAGGATAGCGACAGGTATGTGGGGCTGCATTTCATACTGAAATGCATCATACTGAAGCACAAGTTAGAAACATCCAGTGCCAAATGCTGCAGGAGAATTTGTAACCAGCTAATGGAGGTGAGAGTAGCCAGGAGAAGAGGAACAGTGGTTACTAGCTGAAAGCAGATAAAGCCCTTAGCATCATGATGGGTATTTCTCTCTCCATCTAGTAAATCTGACAGGCAGGCACACAAGCAACGTAAAATGGACACAACTGCTACCAAGAGGAGAATGAAATCTTGTTTTGGAGCAAAGAAGAGCCCAACTGCCAGGAAAACGGATCTGGTTGCGACCTCAAAAGAGTAGGGATTTGTCTTCAGGAATGAGAATTGCGGTCATGAGAGGGGCAGAGGGAGCAGTGAAGGGCTGGGATTTAAATGCAGCCCAGTGAGCGAGATGTTCACACTCCCTGCAGAGCTGGCAACAAGCAGCGGAAGGGGAAATGTGTTAGATGAACAACCACCCTCGTGCTCGTGCTTTATTTGCTTCAAATGGAGCCAGGTGTGAAAAGGGCTGCTAAAAAAGCCCTTGTTCCAGCAGCAGGAGCAGAAGCACTTCGTGTGAAGCAGGTCCTGACCCACAGGTCTGCAGATATCTCCCAGATTTTTCCACTTCAAAGGGCTTCTCTGCACCAGCACAGCCAGCCCCAAAGGGAAACTGAGGCGGGGGAGGTCAGCAACTGAGATGGGGACACAGAGGGGAGCCTGACATAGTCTATTCTTTTCCAACAACCTTGATAGGCAAATGAATCATCCGGAAAGCAGACTCTGAAGAGAAGACATGAGTCTTCTCTGATGGGGCTGACACCATTTGCAGTCCCTGCCTCCCGACACAGCCACAGGATGCAGCATCCAAAGGCCCTGCAGTTCTGCGTGGGAGCAATTAAAGCAGATCCCAGCTCCCTGCAGGATCACCCAGCAGCTATTTTCAGCAATACATTCATGCACAGTTTCTTTGTTCAAGGAGACGACGGCTCCTTGAAAGAAACCCAAAATGTGGTGGATGGAGATAAGGCTGAAAAATAAAAATACAGCCAATGGGGTGAAAGGGTGAAGAGAAGAAAGACCCCACTGCAAGGACAGATCGGGGCTTTGAGCAGCCCCAAAGCCAGCACCCAGCTCTGTCCCACCAGAGCCTGCCTTGCATGGGACCATTCCAAGGGGGGATATGAGGAAGGGCACTGTGAATCACTGATGTGAGGAGACCTGGGCTGCCCTGGGGACACTGTGGAGCATCAGCTCCCATGCAAACAACAGCTCCTTCCCATATGGGTCCCTTGCAAACAGCCCGGTGCATCCCCTGGGCATCACCCACAGCACACATCCCCATGGCAACTGCTTTGTTTTGAATCAAACTTTTCTTATATTTCATTCCTAACCCCTTTTTCCCCCTCTTTCTTTTACTTTGTGCTTAAATAAGGGCAATTTGCAGTGAACTGGGGAGGGAGGAGGAAGGGCAGGCTGATTCCCCAGGATTGCAGTAATTAGGCACTTCCTACGTTGGTGACAGGCTGCTCATCTGCCAAGGCAGCACCTGCTGTCTCCAGCAGCGCTCCGAGTTAAGCCTCTTTCTGAACACTTCATTCCAATTTGTCTTAGCCGGCTCTGATCCTCACCCAGCATGCAGCCTTCCTCCCATCTCCAGGTGCTCACCTCCATCCTTGTTTGCTGTGGATTCTTGGAAGAACCCCCAGCTGCTGGGGCTGCTGTTGCCCTGGCAGGGATTTTGCCCTGTGCTTATCCTCCGTGGGCACTCTGTTGGCCAGGATTATGGGAAGAGCATCATTTCCCCCCTTGGGGCTGCCTGCCCACCAGGTCCACGCTCTCACTGAGTTCTTAAAAAGCAGCAGCAAAGGGCTTAACTGCCCATTCGGATTCAGCATGGGAAAGGAGCAGTGAGCCCCTTGGCCAACCCAAACCTCTGCCCGCCGTGCGCAGTCCCGGTGAGCTGTGCCTTACAGGCAGGTACTGGGGAGTCAAAATCCTCTCTGCCGTCGCTGAGGGAATGTTTAAGGCAGTGATTAACTATTCATACTTTAATCTCTCCGAAACAGGCTCCAGCCCTTTGGCATCTTATTTCCATCTGTCTCTGTATCCTTCTAAATATGATTAGCACAGAAATGCTGATAGGGGAGGTTTGAGCTGCTGCTGAGCGTATAAATCCAGTCATTGTGTTTGAGCAGCTAATAGAGCAGCTTCTTATTTACTGCCCCAGTCCTTCCGCCCTGTCCCTGGAGTCATTTGGAGCACACTCACTGGAATGCAGCCCTCTCTGTACAGGCTGGAGTTGGGCTCGGAAGGAGGGGATCGTCCAACCTGAAGAAGGGCTGATCCTGGAGAGACACATTGTGCTGTCTCTGTGCCCATCCAGCTCTGAGATGGCCCTAGAACATCCAAAGGAAATCCCTCTGTGAAGGGCTTTGTAGATGACAGAGTTCAACAGAGTTCACCTTGTGGGGACAACACACAGGGTGCTGGGCTGACCCGGTCCTAGGGCAGCAGTGTATTTATAGGTTCTGCCCCTGCTGCCCACCTGTGCTGGGAAGGCAATGCAATGTAAGATGAGTGCCAGAGCGAAAAAAACATTATAAACCCAGCAAGCTGCTGATTAAGTGTTAGATTTAACACTTGAAGTCTGTTTTTGTTCCCCCAGCTGGGATGAGGGCAGCCCTCAGCAGCAGCTCCATGCCCTCACCACAGCTAAGCCTCACATGAGCCCCTGAAGCCCTTGCCAGGGGTTTTTCCCCTTTTTGTCCCCAACATCTGGGAACTGCCTGCCCCAGGGGCTTTCCTTTGGAAAAGGAAAATAAAGGGAAATTAAAGGGGAAATTAAGGGAACATGTGAATGACCAGCTAAACAAATCTGGGGGCAAAACCCAACAATATTGGTGAGGGCTCACCACAACCAGCCAAGTGCAGCTGCCTTCCCACAGTGGCAGCAGCCAGCAGCGTCCAGCTCATGTGGCTAATGCCAAGAGACCTCATGTATCGTCAACAGGAGGATGTGAAGCAGCCAGGAGGTCACATCTCACAGTAATATTCACTCTCTGTACTGTCATCTCACAGAGTCGTCGCAGCAGCTCCAGAGGTTGTGATCACTGTGCTGGGTGCCGTGTAGGGCAGCAAGGTGGCTGAGCTGTATTTCCTAGGAGGTTTGCTGGTGTCTAATAACCGTGGAGTTGGACCAGATGACCTTTAAGGGCCCTTTCCAACTCCAATGATTCAATGATTCAATGACAATGAGGTGCTAAGTTGATAATGCAGGTTTTCTTGTTGGGTTGCTACCCTGTGCTCAGGTGTCTGTTGCCATGAAACTTTTTGTGTCAGAGACCTTTAATTAAAGCTCAGATGAAGCTGGCAAATGGGTTTAAAAGCATTTGGCAGCACAGACGTATGCACACACACACATTTATGCACATGCACACGCACGCACAAGCCTCACTTCTTTAAGAAGAGACTAAGCCCAAGGATTTCCTCTGGAAAGCTGATCAATCTACAGCTCAGTACAGAGAACCCAGTGCATGGGTTACATTCACACACAAAAACACAAAGGGGTCAGGGCTTGGTCTAACATCCACCCACACCCAAGAAAATGGTTTGCATGATCTTTTTGAGCACACGATGCTCACACTCACCTATAAAGTCATGAATGAGGTCCTTGATGAGGTGCCCAACGATGGCGTACGCCACTGCCACCACCACCAGGGCTGCCATGAGAAGGTAGAGGACAGCCTTGGGCAGAGGGATGGCGTCGCGAGGAGGGGGTTTGTACTCCTTGTACAGCTGGTCATTGTCAGAGTAAGAGTACTGAAACAAGTGGTCAAGGCCAGCCGTGAAGTTGCTGGAGTTCATGGGCTGGCTGTTGGCCAGGTAGCTGTCCTGCTCAGGGTCTTGCAGGACGCTCACCACTGAGCTGGTAGTGGCTTCCACTTGCTGCACCAAGTTCAGGGTCTTGTTCACGCTGGGGAGGATCTGGGAGAGGAAAGTGCTCCAATCTTTGATGGCACTGATGTTGCAAATGAGCATAGTTGCAATGAGGGCAGAGATCTCCGAGCCCAAGAGATGTAAAAGGGAGAGAAATAGGCAAAAATTGCTGTGCTTACACCGAACCATATACTTCAGGCAGAGAAAGTCTCACTGGGGTGGGTTTCTCAGTATCAAATTCTTACATGATCCAGTTGGGATGCATCCGTGGTACCGTTGTCCTCACTGCTGGATATGCATGCAGCAAACCCCTATGGGCATGGAGTCCCTTGGGAAAAAGTAGATGCTGGGATGAATTGGAGCAACATCATTTCCATTCCTCAGCTGCCTCTCCCTAATGCTACTTGCTGATGGAAAGCAGAGAGCCACGATCCTGTCGGTATTTTCAGTCATCTGGAAAAGAAAGACGAATTGCCCTTCCCCAGCTCTTTACACAGGTGTCCGTCCTTGGCGAGAGAGGAACCCCTCAGCGTCGCTCCAGCACCGGGTGCTGCAGCGCTTGGTGTGCGGTGATGCGCTGTGGTCGTCCCCAAAGTGTTTACGGAGGAGAAATGGATTTTCCCCAGCGCCAAAGTTCAGCTGCTCCCGGTGTGCTCCGGAGGTGCTCAGCTCCCGGCCCCAGCAGCAGCAACAATTTCTGCCCACATCTCCCGATCGATGCCTTTAAAAACAAAATCCAGGGGGAAAAAAAAAAAAAAACAAAAAAATTAAGAACAAGAACCCAGAGCCCTGTGCTATCCGGAAGGCACCAATCGTCGGCTTTTACCTTGGGGGCTTCAGCGAGGCAGCGGCTATGCGACGCCCCGCCTGGCTTAATGCCGTGCTCCCTGCGGAGCTCCCTTCGAGCTCTGCGTGGGTGCCCCCGTCCCGCGCGGCCCCGTGCTTCGGCGGAGTTAATCCCCAACGCTGCGCTCGGCTCGGGCTCCCGGCTGGAGGAGAAGACGCGGCGACGAGCAGCCCGAGGGCGCGCGTGGGCGCGGATGCACGCTTGGGCGCGGAGCCGGCGGCAGCTGGGGGTGCCCCGGTGTCCCCCGGGCCGGGGCCGAGCCCCGCCGCCCGCCCGCAGGCGGGGCTGAGCGATGCCGGGCTCCGAGCACTGCGCTGCCGGCGGGCGGGATCACATGGCGGGCGCTATCGGGAGGAGGGCAGCCGATCCCATCCCCATCCCCATCCGCATCCCCATCCGCATCCCCATCCCCATCCCCATCCCCATCCCCATCCCCATCCCTATCCCCATCCCCGGCTGTAGTGCTCCCCACAGAACCCCAGCTCATCCAAGTTTTGGATGCCCGGCTTGCAGCAATTGAGCTCTCCCCACACTGTGAAAGCTGGTAAGAGACACCTTGATGCTGGTTTTAAACTGGTCCAGAGTACATCACCTTTATCCACTTCGGCAGTGGGATTTTGCTGGGTGCTGGCTCTTTTGGGATTTATTTAAAGGAGGAAGAAGGAACCTTAGAGAGGGGGAGATTGTCTTGCTATATTTGGAGGAGAAAATAAATTACAGCTCCATTTCTCACATCTACTTTTCTGTGTGTGTGTGCAGTTTCCCCATGTAAGAAATAGCTCTTATAAGGGCAAAGAAATCACCATGTTAGGCTGAATGCAGACTAACAGATCTTCTGAGGAATTATAGCAAAAGACTCACGTTTTTTCTTGTGCCAGCAGCCAGCAGCAGCCCTACCAGCTGCCTTTAGGATGGGAGGAAAGTAAACAAATTGAAACATCTCACCCTGACGAGGGAATCCCCGGGGCTCAGGTAGGTGATGGACAGACTGTCCAGCACCAGTAGCAAAGGAAATGTGGAGGTTTTGTGCCCCATCCTTGCAGCGTACATACAGCACACTGCAGCGACTTGTCTGTCCAAGAGGAAAAATGTGGCAAGATTTATTTATTTTTAACAGAACTCTTCAATGCCAGCAAGTTTTGAGCTCTTGCACTGTAGTGCAGCCTGGCTTTTCCCCATTTGGACACAATACTCAGTGGGGTCCCCAGGAGGAGAGAGTGACCCCAGGGTATTCCCACTGATCCTGAGGGACTGCAGCTGCTCTGAAGCCGTGTGTTCACCAGTTGCCATGGCACCACCAGCATCAACCCAAGGGAAAGGGAGAGCATCCTGCTGGGCTGAGCCAAACCTGTGCTGCCTGCTGCCTGGGGCTCTGGGTGTCACTGTCCCATATCCAGGAGGAAATGGAGCAGAGTGATCTGGGGCAAATTATTTGCATGGGGGTGTGTGCATAGAAAGGGCAGAGGGGGATGCTTAATATCCTATACCTGTAAAGCTGGGTTGGAGGCCCACATGGTTGAGGCAGAGGTTCTGCCCTGTGCCATATGGGGCAAAACAACCATGACACAGCGAGCCATCAGCTGTTGGACGTCCAACCCTGGAGACAGATGGTGACAGCTGCAGTGGGATGGGGAGCAATCCCTGAGGCTTCCCAGGTATCATGGAGCAGCTCTCCAAGGTCTGCTGCAGGCACTGAAGTCGTTATTGGGCTCAAAGTAACACCCAAGCCCTCTTCCTCTTCTATTTCCTTGCAATGGAAGTGAAGTTGGCCTCTTTCATTTACACTAAGGCCCATACTGGCTCAAATTGATGGAATAGATGCTTAACTGTTCATTTTACACCTTCTGCCACTCTTGTCTGAAGGGGAGGCTTTATTTCCATGATTATCATTTCCATCCCATTACAGGGGGAGAGAGCAGGGAGAAATATAAAAGTGGAGGCTTTAATAACCTGATATTTCAAACTCTCTGTTATTAAAAAAAATGTTTGCATTTGCGGTGATGGTGGGAAGATTAAAAGGATTGCTGTGGATTCCATTTAGGGAACATTACTAATGATATCAATAAATCACCTTAAATAAAAATCACAATCTCCACAGTTCCACCCAAATGCCGTTTGGCAGAGGGGTTGATTATGGCAGCAAAATGAATTTCAGAATTAGCTGCTTGTCCTAATGCAATTGGAGAAATTAAATTTAGGGATACACACATACACAATGACACACACATCTCGTGCACAAGAGTGGTGTTTTGGCCCCTGGGAACAGGAACAAATCACATGTAAAAGGGTCAAGAAAGATTTATGCCTTGTGATGGATGTTCAGTATTTATTTCAGCTATTTCCATGGCATTTTTACTTTATGGCTTATTCTCTCTGCAGCTACAGTCATAGAATGATGTTTTATTTCCATATGGGTAGAATCACACTGACACATCTATGATGCTGTTGTGTCTTTCTTGAGCTGGCTGCCAACAGAGAGAATCATGGAACCATTAAGGTTGGAAAAGACCACTGAGATCGTCCTCTTCAACCATCAACTCATCACCACCTTGCCCACTCACAAATCACAGGCTCATTATGGTCAGAAAAGACCTTTAAGGTCATCCAGTCCAACCACCATCCCATCACCACCATGCCCGCTAACCATGGCCCAACAAACACCCAGCCCTCATCCCCAGCAAAGCTGCCACCTGCTTGAAACAAACAAACAAACACGGAGCAGTGGCAGATTTTACAAGATGAATCAGAACAAGCTATCTTTATCTATCTACAAAAATACCTTTTAATTTTTTTTTTAATGCTGCGTTATTCATGCTGCCAAAGCTGAAGTCATCCAGATTTGAATAATAAATGCCACAATGAACATACCATTGCAGTGCCTGGGAAGGAGCTTCCCTATCTGCTGTCTCTGGTAAACAAAGTGAGGTTTTAACTGCATGTGGCAATGTATCAGGGCCAGCTCTGCTTATTCTACAGCACTTCCCCACCTTAGAACGTGCCACTGGATTTGGAGACTGAGGACATTCACAGAAATACCTGGTGTGAAAAGGATCGCAAAGGAAAGAGAAACATTTCCCAAGTAACCAGACCTGGGGTGATGGTGAAGGTGAGGTGGGAGGAGTGAGATATGTGTGCTTTTTGCAGCCTCAAAAACTGCTGCTTGGCCACAGCACAGATAAAAATAGCTGGAAATTATTTGTAGGATCTATTTATGGGCAAATCTGATACCCAGAGGCAGCAGAACAGACGGGCTCCATCACAGTAGGTGAAAGAGCAATGGGTTTTCCATGTCCTCTCCCACTCTGCTCACAGATTCATCATTCCTTGCAAAGTCTTTGCTCCTGTGTTCTCCTCCCAGAGCAGGACTTGCTTGTGTTCAGACCCATGTTCCAAGTGTGGAGGAAGATTTCTGTGGGGTGAACTGCACCTGGGATGCCAGGCAGGTTACAAACACCCTCCATGACTCGTGATCAATCTGCTGCTGCATCCAAGTGGTGATGCAGTGCTCTCTTCTGCATTGCAGATGGTGCCCTTTCCCCATCACCTTCCGTAACCCTGACCTGCTGCTTCGCAGTGCAGTACCCTGTACATGCCAGGTATGCTCACATTACAGGAGCTGATGGTGGAGGGAGGGGACTGCAGCTTTACCCTGTGTTCATCTTCTAGTGGGTACCACAGGACATAAAATCATAGAATGTCTTGAGTTGAAAGGGACACATAAGGATCTTTGAGTCCAACTTGTGCTCCAAAGCAATGAGTGCAAATAGCGGGCCATGATGAGATCTTCCACTGGCTATAGGAATGTGGTCCTGGAACCCAGGGAAGATGTGAATACAGCCCTTCTGGAGGAAAGGTTGGGATGGGATGGCAATGCCCCATTTCCTCATTCAGACCAGGCAAGATGAAATGCAGCAGCCCCAGACTGAGTGACAGCAGCATGACGGAGCTCCAGACTGGACTGAGCTCTGCAGTCTCAGCAGGGACATTGCCTGGAGCACCCTGTGGTGCTCCACCTCTAGCAGTTTCCCTTGTCAGCAGCAGGCAGCTGTGATTGGCAGTGGCAGCCAAACACCTGATGACTTTGAGATAGAACAAACTCAGGAGCAGACCCAGAAGAAGACAAAAATGTGTATTTAACAAGTACTGAAATAGCTTTCAGTCTGTCTGCAACCAGAGGTGGGATTGCATCCCTTATGCCTTATTTTGTGACTACAGTGCTGCATGTTGTATTTTCCAGTCTGCCTGACTGATACCACCAAATGAATGTTCCCTTACAGGAGCTGAAACCCCAGAAGAGAGCTAAATTAAAAATAAAACTGAAATTCATCGTCACAGGGCAGTATTTTGTTTAGTAGGCTGTTAACCATACATAGAAGAGACATAGAATCATAGAAAACCCCAAGTTGGAAGGGACCCATAACGATCACTGAGTCCAAATCCTGTCAATTCCTGACATAGTCCTTGGGCTCTAGCGTGTTATTGCTGGGAGGGCATTCAATGTCCTCCAGTGTTTTTAATAGCTCACCAAAGGACCTTGGCCATCAGACAGCATACATAGATCTATACAGGCCTATAGGTCTGTAGCTCCCATCCTACACAACACCTGCTTTTTCTGTTGCTTGTATAGGGTGCAGACAGCTATCACCTCCCCATGCCAGCAAAGACAAACTTCTCACTTGAACACACCCTGCTTCCCTGTGTGTCTCATTCTGCTCCCAGCCCTGCTCTCCTGCCCCAGGGCATGCTGCAGTCTGACTTTGTGGCCTCAGATTTGTTTTGCTGTCGCGTTCTGCCTGCACCAGCCTCCAGGCAGTGAGAAGCACATGGGCCTCCATCCGCAGCTGCTTCTGATTTATCACTCTGTCAAAA